ACTGGAAAACCACTGAGCTCATGGGCCAGCTAGCCTGCTGGAGCTTCCTTTCTGCAGGAAGCCGTGCCCACACCATGGGGCACACGGCTGCCCACCTCCCATGGGATGACCACGCTCCCGGGGTGTTTGTGGATGCTGGACATGGGCCTTGACCTCTCATTAGCAGCTCACGTGTCCACAGCACCTCCCTGTGCTAATTGGGATGGGGATTTGGGTCTGAAAGATGTGGGAATTTGTGATTCATGCTTGGTGTGTCTGCGAGACCTTGAATGGAGGAACTGGGATACGCTGGAGAGCCCCCATAGGGCATGTGCCAAGGGGCAGAAGCCACACTCGAGATGCTGCATCCAGCTGTTCTGCACTGCTGCAAGGGGGATGCCCAGTCCATCTGCTCCCAAAGGAGCCAAAGCTTCAGCAGGAAGGGGCTGTGGGCTTTTCCGTGCTGGTGACACACCACTCTGCTCTGTCCTGCAGGGGACATGGTGTTCCAGCACCGGGAGCCGCTGATCCGGGCCTTCCTGCGGGGTGCCCGGGACCCTGACGGAGCACTGCGGGCCAGCAGCCTCTCCAACCTGGGCGAGCTCTGCCAGCACCTTGGCTTTCAGCTGGGATCCATTGTCCAGGAGGTACCAGCTCCGTCCTTCCCCGGCTCCCTGTCTGGGGAGCGTGGGGCCATCACTTGTTTACAAGTGGGTTCGTTAGTGTGTGGTTGGGCTGCTTTGGACATGGAAATGGGACATTTCCATATGGAAATGGAACATTTCCACAAAGAACATGAGCAATAAGAGTGATAATTGCTTACACCATGGAGTATAAAAGCCATTGGGCCTGAAGCAAACACTCAGGAGGTTCTAGCCCTGATTTTTAGGTGTCTGCTCCACCCATGGCAGCTGCTGCCAGAGGAGACCTAGGGGCACAGGTGGTGCCTGCCAGAGACACCTCCTGCTTAATGACACTTAGTTACCCTCCCGTTATCATAATTATCATAATTATCGTTATCAGTATGGCTGAGCCATCCCTTGCCCCAGCTGCAGGCTCTGAGAGAGACATGGCTGCCTGGAGCCACTGGCTCTGTGATCCTGGTGGGGTGAGCCCAGCTGTCGGCAATCCAGCAGCCCTCAAGCTGGTGGGTCTGTGCCCCCTGGAGCCAGAGCTTTGCCCCCCTGGTGCTCCTGGAGCTTGAGCCCACATGGATTTGGCACTCAGGCTTTTCCCCCGGTTGCCATTCGGCACCAGTGGGTCCCGGTGGTTGATGCGATGCCAACACGCCACAAACTGCTATTTTGGGAGGGTGCAAGCTCTGCTAATTCTCCTGGCTGTCACTGCTGGGGTTTAATTAGATTCCTTTGGCTCTGCCTGATTTTTATACAGATTGTTATAAGGCTTCACGAGGCATCCATGTGCTGCCTGGCCCCAGCAGGAGGAAGGGCTGCTCGGAGCCCATGCCCCGCAGGAAGCGGGACCCCCCAGCTGGGTACCAGGCCAGGCACTGAGGTCCCATCCTCATCCTTGGGATGTCCCCAGCATGGCAGCAGCTGCTCAGCCGGGATCCCCCACATCCCACAGCCCTTGCTGAGGCCCCCCTGTCCCCACAGGTGACCTGCTGTGTGACGGCCATAGCCCAGACGGACCCCAAGGCCGAGGTGCGAAGAGCTGCTGTGCACGTGGTGGTTCTGCTGCTGCGGGGGCTGAGCGAGAAGGTCACTGAGGTGGGTCACCCCCCGTTTGTCCCCATGGCAGGGACAGCCCTCAACAGGCTCGTGGGCATCCCTGCCCCACTGGGGCTGCAGGGCTCATTCCCAAGCAACTTCCAGGGAAAGTCTCAAGGGACTGAGACCCCCAACTTTGGCCTCCCCCACCAAAGGGCTCACTCAGCAGATCCTGGGAAAGCAGGGACTTTGTGGGGGCATCCCTCTATGCTGCTGGGATGTGCTGTGGGGCCGTGTCATGCCGTGGGTAGTGCCAGCTCTCAGGAGCCGTGGGAGTTATTCATCACTGATTTGACTTGGAAATGCCCAGTGTTTCCTCCACTGTGGCCTCCCTCCCCAGTTCCCAGTAACAAGCATGTTGGGACTCAACTCCCATGGAGGAAACAGCTGGTTCCCCACGGGAATCCCCTCAGCCGGGATCTCAGCGTCCCCCTGTGCCTCTGGGCTGGAGGTTCACCACAACATGCTGCTGGTGTGTGGGGAAACTGAGTCACGGGAGCCCAGAGCTGTGGTCGGCAGTGGTGGTGCCGCAGTGTCCTGGCACCAGCAGTGCTGGGGGAAGGGGCAGCCTGCTGGGACACGCCGAGGGGGTGAGAGCGGGCGAGGCACCAGTGGGTGCTGACACTTTCCATGCCCGCCATATCCAGGTGCTGCGGGACGTGCTGCGGGACCTGTACCGCCTGCTGAAGCACGTGGTGACGGCCGAGCGCGACGGCACCACAGTGCTGCACGCACAGCTGGCACTGGAGGAGCTGGACACCGTCATGAGGAGGGTCCTGTTCCCCCCACAGACGCTGGAGAAGAAGATTGTTGTGCTGCCGTAGCGGGGCTGAGCCTGTGGAAATGAACTGTTCTGCTCTGACGTTGGGGCCAATGGCTCCCAGAATGGAAGGACTCGCTGTGCCCCTGGGATGCTGCCGGCAGGTGCCGGATGGGGTGGGGAACCTTGCTGGGACGAGGTGTGGGATTAAACAGAGACACACTCAGCCCTGTGTCCGTGGCGTCTGTGGGGGTCATGTGAAGCTTCTGGGTGCTATTGTGGCCATGTCCTGGGTCCAGTGGAAGGATGGGCATCACCCCCAGGGCCAGCATCAGTCCCTGGGCTGGCATGGCAGCCAGTGGGGCCAGTGCTTCAGGCTCCCTGTGGCCAACCAGCCACAGCTGCCCCTGAGGGGAGTTGGGAGGGTGAGGGACTCTGCTATCTCCACCCCTTGAGTGAGCATCCGTGGCCCCCCCTTGGCATCATACACCACAGGGATGCTGGGGGGTCCGGGGTCTTCTTCACTGCAGAGTATGAGGATGGGCCTCTCCACTGTGGCACCAGGAGCCCTCTCCATGCCAAGGAGGGGCTGTGGGACCCTGTGGCTGCAGGCACTTGTCTACAAGTGCTCACCACCATGTGCTTTGGGACACCCCAACATCGGGGTCACTCCCACCTCCAGCCAGGACAGCCCCCATGGGTGCTGCAGCACCACAGGCCTCATTCCTGCGCTGGGAGTTGCTGCACACCTACGGTGGTGGGGGAGCAGAGTCCTCAGGAGCCCAGCCCTTACCCCACTCACTCCCCTGGCACCATGCAGCCCCCAGCCCCTCCATGTACAACCCCAGGTGCCCATTTCCCAGCTGCCCTGTGCCATACCAGATACTGGAGGGGGTCTGGCACACCCCTTCCCTACCAGGCTGGGGGCCCTGAGCTGTGTCACCACCCCTGTGCTGTGCCATGCAGTGTCCTGAGTGGCAGCAGGAGCACACTGTCCTCACTGGAGAGAGCAGCGGTGGCCAAGCGCTCCTTCTCGCTCCCGGTGCTGTTGGACCACGGGCATGCACCAGGGTGCTGCTGTACCAGCTGTGCCTGTCCAGGGGCTGCCACAAGTGGTGGAGGATGAATTTGGAATGAAAAGTCTCTTTTGATGCCACTGGCTGGACACTGTCTGGCCATCCTGCCTCTGGCAATAAGGACATGTCCTGCCTCTGGGAACAAGCTATCTGGCTTTCTTGCCTCTGAGAGCAAGGATGTGTCTGGCTGTCCTGCTGCTGGGAGCAAAGCAATGGCTGTGCTGGGGATGGAGGTAGTTTGATTCCCACCTTGGACAGCCACGGGCACACCAAAAGTGAGGGGTCCCTGATGAGGGCACAGGGAGGGCTGTGATGTGGGGACACGCTGCCCCTGTCCTGTGTCCCCCCTCCCCATAGTTGGGCACCTGTAGCCACAGGGACCCTGGCAGTACCATGGCAGTGGCACAGGCCACACCAGTCTGACCCCACCGTGCTAGGCTTTGCACCCCCACACCCCACTGCTGCCCTGTGGGAGCCCTGCCTGTGGTGCTGAGGGTCCCGGCATATCCCTGTCCCATCCATGGGCTCACCAGCTCCTCACTATTCGCTCCAGGTGCTTGGGAAGATCCCAGCTGGCATCGCTGCGGTGCTGGGGATGTCATTCGAGGGGCACCTGCCCGCCCAGGATGCCCCCACTGGAGGGATTCCCTTCCCCAGCTGCCAGCACTCGAAAGCTCCGAGTCCAGTCCTGGTATCACTTCGCACCCGGCTCCCAGCACAACAGGACACAACGGCCCGCATTGGGGTGAGGAACCCGAAAGTGCTGGATTTAAGCCCAGAGCCAAAGCTGCAACTCCTATGGACTCAGAATGGCTTTTCCCGGAGCTGGCTGTCCCTTGCCATCAGCCAGGCACGGGAACATGGTGCTGCTGTCCCCGGGCTGACCCTGGTCCTGTCCCGGCACCCACCGGCCACAGGGACAGGGTGACATGGGTGGCTCATAGCCGTGGGAAGACACGGTGGCACAGGGAGGTGACAAGTGGGCTTCATAAGAGGGGCCCAAGAACGGGGCGGGGGGAAATGGAGTGACCGGTCCCCGGCCCGTGGCGCTGCGCCGGTGCCGGTGCCGGCTGATGCCGGCGCCGGGTGATGGTGATGCCGGTTCCGGTGCAGCACTAGAGCAGCTGCCGGTGCTGCCGGTGCAGCAGCTGTACCGTGGAGCCTGTGATGATGCCCGTGTCGGTGCAGCACTGGTGCCGCTGATGCCGGTGCTACCGGTGCCGCCGGTGCCGGTCATCACTCCCGCAGTGCGGGGCTGCGGCCGGTGCCAGGTGCTGCCGGTGCAGGGCCGGTCCCCGGTGGCTGCGGGCGGAGCCGGAGCCGGTGCCGATGCCGGTGCCGGGGGCGGTGCCGGCGGTGCCGGTGCCGGTGCCGGGCGGGGCCCCCGCGGGCTGCGGGCGGTGCCGGCCCCGTCGCGGTATAAAGGGGCCGCACGGGCCGGGCTGGGCGCACAACGGCGGCGGCGGGTGGGGAGCGGCGGTACCGGTACCTCCACGGTGAGTCCCGGCCCCTCCTTCTTCCTCCCGGCCCCGCTGGTCCGGCTCGGGGCTCTCTTGCAGCGCTGCGAGACCGGCGGCGGCACCGGGGGCTACGGGGTCGGAGGTAGCGGGTAGCCGGGAGCGCCGGGGGCTGCGGGACCGGGAGGAGTCGGGAGCGCCGGGGGCTGAGAGGCCCCGGGGGGGTTGCCCGGGGGCTCTGCCGGCGGTACGGGTGTTCCTGGGGCTGGCTCTGCGCCCTGCCTGCAACCCCGCACGTGGTCGTGCACTCCCCGACATGCCCACACCCCCTGCCCGCACCCGCGCCCTGGTGCAGCTCCGCAGTCCCGTCCTGCCCGCGCTGCCCGTCCCCGCGTCTCCATCTCGCCGCGGGGAGGGGGTCTAGGTCCTTCCATCCCCTCAGCCAGGGGTCCCGCCACAGGCAGTCTGGGTGGTGGAGGGCTCTGGGGGGCTGTGATTTCCCCGGGGACACCCCAGTCCCTGGTGTCCCTGTGCCCTTCCCTGTCCTCTAGCCCGGCCATCTCTTGGGAGCAGCTGTGCTCCCACTTGGCTGGACAGGGGGTGCTGGCACTGTGCACTGTGGGGTGCTTGGGACCTCCACACCTTGCCTGCCACCCTGCACAGTGGGGTGGTTGGGACCCATACTTCATCTGGCTCCATGGAGACACTGGGAAGGTGTCACCCCCAAACCAGTGACCAGCAAGGGACAGGGTGGCCACAGGGCAGCAGAGAAGCAGGGTCTCTCCACTTCTGTGTTATGGGGAGGTCTAGTGGGGAGCATGTTCCCCTGTCCCTTCCCTGATGCTCTTTGTTGTTCCCCCAGATGCCAGGGAGCCTCTCCACGGCCCTGCGTGTCGTGGGGACCAGCCTCTTTGCCGTGGCGGTGCTGGGGGGAATCCTGGCTGCCTACGTCACAGGGTACCAGTTCATCCATACGGAGAAGCACTACCTCTCCTTTGGGCTCTACGGGGCCATCCTGGGGCTGCATCTCTTCATCCAGAGCCTCTTTGCCTTCCTGGAGCACCGGCGCATGCGGGGTGAGGGGCAGCCAGTGCGGCCGGGGCGCTCTGTGGCCCTTTGCATCGCTGCCTTCCAGGAGGATCCCGACTACCTGACAAAGTGCCTGCGCTCTGTCAAGCGCATTGCCTTCCCCGACCTCAAAGTGGTGATGGTGGTGGATGGAAACGGCCCTGATGACACCTACATGCTGGACATCTTCCATGACGTGATGGGCTCTGAGCACTCAGGCAGCTACATCTGGAGGAGCAACTTCCATGCACAGGGCGAGGGAGAGACGGAGGCCGAGCTGCGGGAAGGGCTGGCCCATGTCCAGGCGCTGGTGCGCAGCAACACCTACTCCTGCATCCTCCAGAAGTGGGGCGGGAAGCGGGAGGTGATGTACACGGCCTTCCGGGCGCTCGGAGACTCTGTGGACTACATCCAGGTGGATGCATGGGCCGGGGGGATGTGGGCAGGGAGTGTCCTGCCTGCATAGCTGGGCAGAGGGGCTGGGGGTGGGATGGGAGCAGCCCTGGGAGCCTGCAGGAGCACTTGGGTGCCTGGATGTGGCCCCATGCACCGGCCCTGAGCCACTAGCACTGGGGCTGGGGGTGACTGGCACTGAGGTGGCCAAGGGGTTGAGCCCTGTCTGCAAGGGTGCCACATCACCTCCTCAGCATGTGCCCTAGCATGGTGTCACTGAGTGGGACAGCATGGCACAGCACAGGGTCCTAGGTCCCCAGGGTGGCTGGGACAGGTCCTCCATCAGTTCTGGGGATGGGTGTCCTGGGGCAGTGGTGTCCAGGCACCATGGGGTGCTCCACTCCCTGCCATCGCCTGCTGGCCTCCAGGGCCCTGCCTGGTCTCGCCATCCATGGCTCGGGCTTGCCCGGCTGCGGGCTGGGCTGTCTGCCGGGTGTGTGGGCGGCGGGAGCGGGGCTCGACGTTCCCTCTGCCCCCAGGTGTGTGACTCAGACACGGTGCTGGACCCCGCCTGCACTGCCGAGATGCTCCGCATCCTGGAGGCCGACCCCCGTGTTGGTGGCGTCGGTGGCGATGTGCAGGTACCTTGGTGTGAGGGAGGGCATCCCAGGGCGGCGAGGCGAGGGCAGGGCTGGGAGTGCCGGGGGCTGCAGCAGTGCCGGAGCTCACATCCCTCCCCTCCCTAGATCCTGAACAAGTACGACTCGTGGCTCTCCTTCCTGAGCAGCGTACGGTACTGGATGGCCTTCAACGTGGAGCGTGCGTGCCAGTCATACTTCGGGTGCGTGCAGTGCATCAGTGGCCCCCTGGGCATGTACCGCAATGCCCTCCTGCAGCAGTTCCTTGAGGACTGGTACCACCAGACCTTCCTGGGCAGCAAGTGCAGCTTCGGGGATGACCGGCACCTCACCAACCGCGTGCTCAGCCTGGGCTACCGGACCAAGTACACGGCTCGCTCCAAGTGCCTGACGGAGACACCCACGCGGTACCTGCGCTGGCTCAACCAGCAGACCCGCTGGAGCAAGTCCTACTTTCGTGAGTGGCTCTACAACGCACTGTGGTTCCACAAGCACCACCTCTGGATGACCTATGAGTCGGTGGTCACTGGGTTCTTCCCCTTCTTCCTAATTGCCACCGTCATCCAGCTCTTCTACCGCGGTCGCATCTGGAACATCCTCCTGTTCCTGCTGACGGTGCAGCTGGTGGGTGTCATCAAGGCCACCTACGCCTGCTTCCTGCGTGGCAATGCCGAGATGATCTTCATGTCCCTCTATGCCCTCCTCTACATGTCCAGCCTGCTGCCCGCCAAGATCTTTGCCATCGCCACCATCAACAAGTCGGGCTGGGGCACCTCAGGGCGCCGCACCATTGTGGTGAACTTTGTGGGGCTGCTGCCAGTGTCGGTGTGGGTGGCAGTGCTGCTGGGTGGGCTGGCTTACACTGCCTACAGCCAGGACCTCTTCAGCGAGACTGAGGTGGTCTTCCTCATTTCAGGTGCCATCCTCTACGCCTGCTACTGGGTGGCCCTGCTCACCCTCTACCTGGCCATTGTCGCCCGCCGCTGTGGCAAGCGGGAGGAGCAGTGTGGACTGGCCTTCACTGAGGTCTGACTGCAGGGTGGTGCCACATGCCAAGGGGTTCCTGTGTGCCAGAGCAATCATCCCCAGTCCCCTCTTCCCCCATCCTGGAGCTGGGATGGTAGAAGTGCCAGGTGCTGGGGTATCCCTGTGTGCCAGAGCAACCACCCCAGATCCCTTCTTCCCCCATCCCGGAGCCACCAGGTGCTGGGCAGTGCCAGGATAACTACCCCCAGTCCCCTTTCCCATCCCAGAGCCAATGGGCAGCGCTGAGCGCTCCTACCCCTTGGCATTTCTCAGCAAATCTTGAAATCTTGCTAATTTTTTTATTGATATGTTTATTTTTTCCTTATCATTTCTCCATCCCAAGCTGGCTGTGGAGAAGCTGAGCCAGGGCTGCCCATCACCCACCTGGGTGCCACTGGCCACATCCCTGCTGTGCCCTATGGAGCATCCTGGTGCCGAGCGCTGCTGGCTGCGCTCCCCCCACCCCAATCCAGAATTTTCCACCTTTTGGTGCTTTTTATAGGGATTTCAGTCCCACCTCCACGGTGCTACAGCACTTCCCACCCCCAGGACACACTGTCTCCGTCTGGCACGGTGCCAGCACTGCTGGATGGTGCTGCCTTTGCTCCACTGCTGCGTGCAGGCACGTACCCACGGGGAGCCCCTCCAGCCCTTTTGGGGGGGTCTGGCTGCTCCAGGAGGGCAGCAGGTCCCTTCAGCTTTGCCAAAGAGCCAATGGGGGAATCCTGGTGTGGAGAAACTGGGAAAATGGGGGGAGCTGTGGGTTGTGTGGAGCATTCCCCCCAAAGGGGCTGTGGTGGTGCTCTGGCAATTCATGGCCCCATCATTCCCACCCCACTGCCTTCTCAACAGTAGGAAGACATTGGGATTTAGGCAAGGTGCTTCCCAACCTTTCCCCTCCCAAGGGAATCGACCTCTGGGTCCTTTTTGTCAGGACTTGGATGAAAACCCCTTTCTATGATGGAGGTTTTAGCTGTTTTTTGTTTAACTTAATACAAGGTTTTTTAGGAGACTTTTGTAGCTCTTTGGTATTGTCATGGATGGTTTGTAAATCTATTTATTTTTGAATCTGCCAGGGGGATTCTTTTAATATTTTAGGGGAAAAAAATGTTTTTATATCCTGATGGAGTTGTGGAAATAAAGACTCGCATCAAGGATGTGTGCTGTGTTTTGGGGAGGGTTCCTGGTCCCCCTGCCCTGATTTGAGGGAGATTGGGACTGAGTCCCTGTCTGGCACTGCTGTCCCCACAGATGCAGGGAGAGGTAGAGGGGGGCATCTCCATGCTGGCACCTTCGCAGGTCCCTGGGAACTGCTGAGTCCAAGCACTGAGGGCAGCCCCCAGATAGGACATCCCTGCATGGGCTCACAGGAGGTTCCTGCCCCTCAGGACCCATGTCCCCTGGAATGACCCACAGAGTCTGTGGTTCTCAGAAAAATGTCATTTTGAGGGGACAAGTGACCTAGGAAGGGCTCTGGATGCCCAGATACAGAACCCATCACCTTGAGAGTTCCCTGTGCAGGACAGGGATGAAGTCCTGGATCTTTCTCAGTCCTTGCTGCTCTTCCCAGCAGCAGAATGAAGTTCACAGCCCCCATCCATCCCCCTCACACCTTCTTGGGCACGTGGGTGATGATGGGCTTGGGGCGGGTTTTGAAGAGCAGTTTGGTTTTGATGACGGCGGAGACGGTGTAGTGCCCCTGTGGCTCCCCGGGGCTGGGCTGGGAGGCTCCTCCCTGCTTCACCAGCACAGCAAACGGCTTCTCCAGCTGCACCACCTTGCCATAGAGGATGTGGTGGCCCACGATGAGCACAGGGATGCCCTGGGGAGAGTGGAGGGTGAGGGTACGGTAGGGCCAGGCTGTCCACAGGGGGGACTCCAGTGCCACCTGCCTCACCTCACAGGTGTAGTGCAGATCTCCCAGGAGGCTCCCGGCCAGGCTCCCGGTCTGCCGGGGCTCCACCTCGCCCTGCAGCTCCACCAGCACCCACTGTGCCAGGCTCCTGGCGCCGCCACTACAGGAGAGACAGGGGGGTCACCTGGGGGGGTCACCCGGGGCCTGGCCGTGGCCCGGCAGACGGCTGCAGGGGCTGGACCCCAAGGGTCTCACCTGGAGATGACGATTTGCACCATGTCAGGTCCTGGGGGGGGCTGCAGAGACACAGGTAGGGCATGGGGCAGGGCCTGCTACCCCTGGGGTCCCCAGGCTGAGCTCCTGCCCCTGGCCCCCACAGACGCCATGTCCAGATCCCAGACCTATCCCCTTCCCAGGCCCTCCAGCCGTTCCCGGGCCCCACAGACCCACCCATACCCCCCCCGCGGACCCTGCAGCCCCCTCGGGCCCCACAGCCAGACCGCAGACCCATACCTTCCCCGGGGCTTGCAACCCCCCATGCCCACACTCCCCCTCCCGGTGCCCCGCAGCGTCCCGGTGATGCCTCCCGGTTGTGCGGGGCGCTGGTGCCCTCCAGCGGCGCCGGTGCGGCGGGGCCGGGCCGGGGCCGCTCGACGGGGCCGTTCGGGGGCCGGGCCCCTCCCGTCCCCCCCCCCTCCGCCCAGCCCGGGCCGACCCCGTCCCGCTTCCCCCGCGCCGCTCCCGCCGCTCCCGCACCCGCCGCCGGCTGCGCGCGAATCTCCCGCCGCGCCGCCGCTTCCGCCTCCGGTCACGTGCGGCCCCGGGGCAGCCCCCGGTTCCGGTGCCTCGCGCACGTGGGGCGGAGCGGGGCCGGGACCGGGATCGGGATCGGAGCGGGGCTGCTGGGGCGCGATGGGCGAGTTCGAGGTGCACCGGGTGCGGTTCTTCGGGCTGGTGCCCGCGGGCGTGCGCTGCCTCGCCTGCCAGCCCCGCGGCTCCCGCCTGGCTCTGGCCCGCACCGACGGCGCCGTCGAGGTGTACAACTTCGCCGCCAACTACTACCAGGAGAAGGTGAGGGCGCCGGCACGGGCCGAACCGGGCTGTGCTGGGCCTGTACCGAGCCGTACTGGGCTTTAGCGAGCTTGTACCGGCCCCGTGCGAGCCTGTACTGGGTCTGTACCGAGCCGAACTGGGCCATGCCGAGGCTGTACCGGGCTTTACTTGGCCCTGCCGATCCGCACCGGGCCGTACAGGGGCTGTACCGGGCTCTATTGGGCCGCTCCGAGCCGTGCCGCCGTGTGACGCCCGTCCCTCCGCAGGTGATCCCCGGACACGAGGCGCGGACGGTGGAGTCGCTGTGCTGGGCCGCCGGGGACCGGCTGTTCGGGGCCGGGCTCAACGGGGACATCACTGAGTACGACCTGTCTCGGCTGAGCGCGGCCCGCGGGGCCGACGGCGGCGGGGGACCCATCTGGAGCATGGCGGCCAACGGCACCGGCACCCAGCTGGCGGTGAGTCCCACCGGGAACGGCACCGGGAGCAGCGGCAGGGGCGGGGAATCCTCCTGTGCCGCCAGGCTGATCCCGACCTTCCACAGATCGGCTGTGAGGATGGTTCTGTTAAGATCTTCCAAGTCATTCCTGGAGGGATCCAGTTTGAGCGGAACCTGGACAGGCGGAAAGGTGAGTCCGGCAGCAGCACCATCCCTTTGTCCCCCCTGGTGTCCTGGTGACCAAGGGGCTGTGAGCCCGCGGGGTCACACCTGGAGCTTCCCTCTCCAGGCCGTGTGCTGTGCCTGTCCTGGCACCCCTCGGACACCCACATCGTTGCCGGCTCCATTGACGTCTTCCGCATCATCGATGTCGCTTCAGGTACCTCCTGCCCTGGGGGTGACCCTGGCCTGTCCTACAGCACTGCCAGCACCCACTGGCCTCCTGTGCTTGGGGGGATCCCTGGCCACCCCCAACTGTCCTCCATGTGCAGGTCAGACTGTACAGAGGATCATGGTGAACTACCACGTGGAAAAGGTGAAGCGCGAGTGTGTGGTCTGGGCCATCGCCCTCCTTTCCAGAGGCACTGTGGTCACCGCTGACTCCTTCGGGAGGGTACAGTTCTGGGACTGGCAGCAGGGCACGTTGGCAGAGTCCCATACTGTCAGCACCTCGGCTGTGCTCTCGCTGGCTGTGGCAGAGGTTGGTGAGACCCCCATGTCCTCCCTCAGCTGACAGGGGCCCGTGGCAGGAGCTGCCGGGCTTGGTGCCTCCTGATGATGCCCTCCCTCTCTTCCCAGTCTGCTCCCACAAACCCATTCTGGTTTTTGTCCCCAGAAGGAGGACAGCATTGTTGTGGGTACCTCGACTGGAGCCACCTACCAGCTGCAGCTGCTGCCAGTGAAGCTGGGTGGATCAGAGAAGCGCTGGGTGCGGACCAAGCCCTTCCAGCACCACAGCCATGACGTGCGGGCCGTGGCACACAGCCCCACTGCCCTCATCTCTGGGGGTAGGACTGCCAGGGGCACCGGGACAGGCTGGATCTCCCCTCCTGGTACCAGCTCAGCTGATCCCTGTTTGGCTTCCAGGCCTGGATGCCCAGCTGGTGATCCGCCCACTGTTGGAGAAGGTGCAGAAGAAGGGCTACGATGCAGTGCTCCGAAAATTCACCTTTCCCCACGTGAGTGATGCTTAGAGTGGTGTCTTGTGGCTGGTGGGGTATGCGGGCGGGGCTGGATCTTTCTGCAGGAGAAGCTGGATCTCCTTGTCCCTTTGGGTGCCCTCCTTTCTCTGATGGGGTCCCTTCCCTGGCCCTGGGTCCCTTCCCTGCCCTGTTGTGTCCCCTTCCTTGGACCTGGTACATCTGGAGGCTTGTGCCAAGAAGTAGTAGAAGTTAGCAAGTTGGTCTTGCTGGTCCTGCCGGGTCTCCATTTCCAGGCTCCCATCCCATGGAGCCTGTTCTCCCCCACCTTGGAGTCTCCAGCACCCTAGGGTGTTCTGCTGGTGCCCCAGCCCGTTGTAACAGGCTGTGGATCCATGACAGCCTGACCATTTCCATGACATCCTGCCTGTTTCTCTGCACAGCGACGCCTTGTCTCCTGTGCCAGGAAGGCACGGCTGCTTCTCTTCCAGTTTTCCCAGCACCTGGAGCTCTGGAGACTTGGCTCCACTAGAGAGACTGGTGAGTCACAGGTGTAGCTCTCTGGCATTGGCCCTCTGACAGAGCCCATCTGCCCCAGAATTTTGTGATCGAGCTGTCCTGTACCTCGGGGAAAGGTTTGGTTATTCTCCCAAGGATCCCCAGCTGCCCAACAGGACCTCTATGGTTTTCCCACCATCACTGATGCTCCGTGTGCTTTCTTGTCCCAGGAAAGGATGGCGAGGTCCTTCCCTTGTGCCGCATGCCCGAGCACCTCGTGCAGCTCAAGAGCAAGGTAGGGCTGAGCGGGGCAGGGGTCCCCCTCAAAGAGGGGCACGTGGTGGGCTCTGGGAGTCCCTTGGGCTCCTCTCAACCCTGCAGCATTCCCAGGGCCCGGAGCACATCTACTGCAGCTGTGTCTCACCCTGTGGCACCTGGCTCAGCTATTCCACCGCCTCCCGGTTCCACCTGTACCGCGTGCGCTGCGACAGCGTCAGCCTCAGGAAGGTCAGGAAGGGTGGAGGGAGCTGCAGGGTCATGGGGGGCTGGCATGGTCAGTGTCACAGTGGTGACAGCGGTGGGTGGCAGTGGGGTCCTGGTGGGCTGGCGTGTCCCTGGGGGGTTGTCATGGCCGGTGTCACACGTAGGGAGCACTGGTGGCAGTGGGGTGGCTGCCAGGGCTGTGTTCTCCCCACTCCCAGGTCCCAAAAGTGCCCAAGCTGCTGCTTCCAGCCTACCAACTCCAGTTCTCCGCCGACTCCAACAGCCTCTTCGTCGCCTCCGCTCGAGGATCTGTCCACGTGCTCCAGCTGCTGGAGCCAGGGGGCTGCAAACACCTGCACACACTTCGGCCACCCTCAGGTGTGGGCTGAGGGGAGCTAGAGGGGAGCTGGGTGTCCCTGGGATCCATGTCCCCTCCCTGCTGTGGGTGCAGAGAGGAGTGTGTGTCCCCCTTTCCTGTCGTAGGTTGTGTGTGGGTCCTTCCTCTGGGTGTTTGAGCCACCCTCATGGCCTGGCACCAGGGGGCAGGGGGAACGTGGGTCTGGGTGTCCCCTGGGGGATGTGGGACTCCAGCACCCCTTACAGCTGGAGGGTCTCTACAGGGTGCTCCGAGGCTGTTTACCTCCTGGCGCCAAGCGCAGACGGGCACTGGCTGGCAGCCGTCAGTGGGGACTGGGCCATCCATGTCTACAACCTGAAAAGCTCCAAGGTAGGTGCAGGAGTGATCCTCACTACCCCCCTGCCTTGAGGGACAGGGGGCAGGAGGCTCAGCGGGCAGGGCCCCTCCCTGGGAGCCATCACTGTGGCCCTGGAGCAGGGCTGGGGTGGATGTCTGGGAATGGAGGTCAGAGGTAGCCCTGGGGGCTCCACTTTGGGGGCGGATGTGTGGGGAGGGAGATCAGAGCCAGCCCCAGTGGATCCCATCAGCACACTGTCCTTCCTGCAGCATCACTGCGTGGTGCCCACCTACAGCTGTGCAGTGTCAGCCCTCGCCATCCACCCCAGCACCAACAACCTTGTCGTTGCCTACTCGGACCAACAGGTAGGATCTCTCCTGGTTCAGCCCTCACGTCCCTGGTCCTCTCCCTGCCCTCAGGGCTTTCCAGACTGGCTCCGAGGCCCATCTGGCTGTTGCTGGAGCTGGACCTGCCCCTGTGCTGGTGTGGGGGTGATGTCAGGCAGGAGCAGACCCCCTGAGCTGCCCTGTGTTCCCCTTTGTGCCTGTGCAGCTGGTGGAGTTCAGCATCCCCGAGCAGCAGTACACGCCCTGGAGCCGCACGGTGCAGAGACGGGGGCTGCACCGCTGCTGGCTGGAGCGGGACACACCCATCACCCACATCACCTTCAACCCCAAGAACCCCTCACACATCCTTCTCCATGACACCTACTTGTTCTGCGTCCTGGACAAGTCCCTGGTGAGCCTGGGGGTGCCCAGGGCATGTCCCTGAGGGAGGGGTGGTGGCCTGGGCAGTGCTGACCTGGGCCATGCCTGCTCCCCACAGCCCCTGCCCGACGACAGCACCCCTCTGATGAACCAGAGCACCCTGAAACAGCTTCCAGAGACGGCCAGGAAGCGGCAGCTCCACGCCTTCAAGATCTGCAAGAAGTTCCAGGTGGGTGATGGTGTTGAGGAGCCGGGTCAGGAGGGTGTTCAGGACATGGAGAGGGACTTTGGACAGGGGCCTGGAGTGATAGGACAAGGGTGAGTGGCTTCCCACTGACAGAGGACAGGGTTAGATGGGATATTTGGAAGGAATTCTTCCCTGTGAGGGGGGTGAGGCCCTGGCACAGGTTGCCCAGAGAAGCTGTGGCTGTCCCATCCCTGGAAGTGTCCGATGCCAGATTGGACGGGGCTTAGAGCAACCTGGTCAAGTGGAAGGTATCACTGCCCATAGCAGGTGAAACAAGATGGGCTTTAAGTTCCCTTCTAACCCAAACCATTCCATGATTCTTTGATTCCCACCTCCTGCCCTGCAGCCCCTGCTCTTTGCGGATCTGCTGGATGAGAACTCCCTGGTTGTGGTGGAACGACCCATCATGGACTTCAAAACCCAGCTGCCTCTGCCTGTCCAACAGAAGAAATTCGGCACCTGAGAGCAGAACAAGCTGCTCCGGCCTCAGGAGCTGTCTCTGTGTTGCTTTCCTGGGACACTGTAGGAATTTTCTTAGGGTGCTGTCAGAATAAAACCTCTCTGTTCTGTACATCTCTGGTCTTATGGCTAATCCGTGCTGTGTGAGACTCCCTGTTGTCACACAACCCTGTCACCCTGATCCTTCTATCCCTCTTCTCCTCCACAGAGCTGTGGGACAAGGTGACACCCCAAATTCCAAGCTTCTTCCCTGTCAGCAGCTAATCCCAGTGCTGGCTTCTCTCTCTCTCCCCAGTGGCTTTGTGGGTCTTTAGGTGCTGTGTGGGGCAGGGGAGCCTCATTCCCTGAGGATGGGGCTCTATGGGTGCTGCCTGGTGTGGGGAAGCCTTATTCCCTAAGGATGGGGGTCTGTGGGTGCTGTGTGGGGCAGGGGAGCCTGATTCCGTAAGGACGGGGGGGTCTGTGGGTGCTGCCTCATTCCCTAAGGATGAGGATCTGGATGCTGCATGGGGCAGGGGAGCCTCATTCCCTGAGGATGAGGGTCTGTGGGTGCTACCTGCAAGCCTCATTCCCTAAGGATGGGGGCTCCTTTGGTGCTGCGTGGAGCAGGGGACCCTCCTTCCCTAGGGACGGGTGCAGCCTCATTCCCTAAGGACGGGGCTCCGCGGGAGCCACCCGGTGTATGAAACCCTCGGGATGGCGCTCTGTAGGTGCTGCGTGGGGCCGGGAAGCTTCATTCCCTAAGGATGTAGGGAGGGAAATTTGAGATCCCCTGGGAATAAGGGAGATTTAAAGCGAAAGGGGGGGGGGGGGGGGAGGGTGAAATAAATCGCAGCGCGCGAAATAAATCACAGCGCCAGACATGGCGCGGGGG